AGGGAATGGAAAAAAGGGGTTGATGCGATGGGAGGGTCTGCAGGGTTGACATGTTTTGTGACATCCTGGTCTGAGGCTGGCGACATGGTGAGTCACTTGGTGGAAATTCATAGGGCTTCCTGACTCCAGATGCAGTTCTGAACACACCCCAGTACAAAGCTAGCGTTCCTGTGATCTGGGTGGTGGACAGCCGTTCTGCACCAGGAGTCCTCTAGAGGGAGCCAGACGACAGCGCGGAGGCCAGGTGCAACGCGTTGCTGTCCGCTCCGGTTGCAAGGCGGAGATCAGCTGGCGGCAAGAGCGTTGCAGGTGGGAAACGGTTCAGGGCCTGAGATGTCTGGAGACATCAACAAAAGGCCACCGCTTGCTCTAGTGGCTAGGCGGATCCGCAGCTCAGCCGCAGAAGAAGCTGCGCCCACTGCGCATGCACCCAACACCCAGGCTGTGGTACCTTAACTAGGCACCAGGAGGCGCCCCAGAGCCCGCCACGTCCATTGCCGCTGCCCTCCTTTTCTTGTCTGACATTAGGAATGCGCTCTGGGCATCCCAGCCTAGTATTCGCAAAATGGGGAGGGCTGGTTTTGGAGGTCGTCTTCCAGGACCATCCGGACATCTCATCAAGGAGTTGGGCCCAAGGAACTGTGGGGAGCAGGGCTGGCTGGGCTACCAGGACGGGCTGGACACTTTAATGACGACTACCCAGAAGGAATAGTTGCAAATAAAACCTTGAGACAGATAACCCGATATGATACCCAAAGGGAGGTCCCAGGAACTCAGGTCTGGGAACCAACAGTTCCTGGAATCTGGGACATTTCTGTTAACCCAAGACATCCTTTTGGAAAACAAGGCCCATCTCAGTTCTGAAACACCAAGATTTTTCCAGAGACATAGATATTCTGGCCTCCCTAAGTTCTGAGTCCTCTTTTGATCAGCAAATTCCATTTTGCTGGCAATGGTGATTGACTCAGGGGATTAGCTCAGGATTCAAGCTTGGACATTGGGACTGTTGGGAAAGGGGGTCTTTGTGAGTGAGGTTGGGAGGGGTGTATGTACTAAATTAGAAGAAGCCAAGTCTGAAGCTGTGATCATTTTTAATCCAGCTAAGGAGACCATGCTAAGAAAAAAACTCCACCAGAGGCAGAGAGTTGAAAAATGTACATCATCTGAGCCTGGTCCAGCTATGCCTGAGCCCATTAGCTCGGCTTTGAGCCAGTACAATTCTTGGGAAAAAAAAAAAAAAACACAGATTGAGTTGATTTTTGTGACTGATATGAAATCCAAAAATTAATGCAATCTTGAAGAATAATGAATTGAAACCAACAGCAGGAATACACACAAACACATATATACATTATTATCAGAAAACCAACCAAACTCCAACAACAGGATAGTATTTCTATTTATGTTCCAAAAATAAATTTCATGGAAGATTCTTAAAAAGAAAGAATTCAGGAGTTTTCATAGTTCACAAGCTTACCATAGATCATTAAGAGTCTGTCAAAGAAGGGTGGCATGAATGTGGGAATTAACAATTGTGTTGCTGTGTGGAAGATGAGGACAGGGTAAAAACCAGAGGAGTATACATAAGAGTCTAGTCACTGGTGGCTATTAGATTATTGTCTCATAATCCAAAACACAGCTGAGTGACCAGCTCAAAGGAAAGATGTTGTGTAACCACCTGACCTGGAGGCAGCAGTGGGAGGCTGTGACTTTATTTGGCAGGTCACAAAGTATTTCTTCTTGAGTGGCCAGGAGCCACAATGGCTGCTCAATCCGTTTCAATTTTAGGATTTTCTGACTTTTAGAGATGTATGGCTTTCTGATTTAAGGTGTGAGAACTATAGCCTGAGTCAACATTACCACATCTGGCAATTAAATCTACAGAGAAGTAATGTGCTGGTGTATGTGGTGGGATGTGTGTTGTTACAGTTGTTCATAGGACCAGGTAAGTGAGACAGTCAGCACCACCATAGGAACAAAGGGAAAATGCACTCCTAGACTTTGGCTTATGACAACCAATAAAAGATCCAAACTTAACCCACAGTTTGTCAGTTTCCAAGCAAGCCTCCTTTATCCACCCTCAAACAGTACCAGGTGCATCGTCAGAGCCAGGTGCTTTCACCAAACTCATCTTTATCACAAGGCAGAGATGGTTGAGTTGAAGCACCATCACAGGTCACACCTAAAGCCCATTAATGTCCTATTCCTCAGCCATTAAAATCAGCTCCCTTCTTTTGTTCCAGGAAACAGCCTGATACTTTCTTATTAAAGTTGTGTCTCCCTTCTCAAGCAGAAGCCCTGTAAAGGCTTTGCCTATTTGTACTTGTGTGACTCAATCTTGTTTTTATCATCATCATATCAAAGTTCTCAGAGTCCAGCATCAGTAATGTCTGGGGCTCAAGCAAATCCAGGAGGAGGGGGCTGGAACTGTTTGCACAGGGCCAGGGCCCTGCCCAGGGACTTTGGCAGGGTAGGTGGCCCTCCAGAGTAAGGTGGGCAGGATATTAGGGATGAAAGGTTTGTTTGTCTAGATCTCCAAAGTGAGACAGGCACACAGACAGGGTAACCACAAGCAGCAAAGGCCAAATGGACAGCTGGGGACAGGTAGCAGGGGCTGGTGGTAGGAAACCCCAGTGTGCCAGAAAGAGGCAAAGGATGAGATGTTGAGACCAGCAACACACCTCATACAAGATGCCTGATGCTAAATTCCACCAGATTCAGGTGGAGTGGTTTGAAACCTTTCTGTCTCAAGACTATGTCAGCCTCTTAGAGCCTAAGGTGGGGAACTGAGCCTTCACCTCCTCTCCTGAGGACCTGGAGAAGACTGGGGAAGGATGAGGCAGGAGCAGATGGCACTAATATTTCTAATTAGAACATAAAGAATTATTTCAGCCCCCACCTTGTTCTTAAACACAGCATGCTTCTTTCTCCAGTTTTTTTTTCACTCTGCAAAGTGGGTGATCATTTGCGTAAAAACATCTGTCACAATGCTTGGCCTAGCAGAGGCCCCTAGTCAGTGGTAGGTTTTGCAATTATTGGTATCAAAGTTGACAATATACTCCCAAATGTGAGCATCCTGGAGAAACATCACCTTCGATTCCTCTTTTGATCTTACACAAAACAGTCAGCACAATGGCCAGGACTCTCATTAGCGCTGCTGCCAGGAAAAGGAAGAAACCATTGGCTGACCAGACAGGTCTGGAGATTATGGTCTGGGTACCGGTGAGCACTGGTCAGCAGGAAGTGACTTCTGCCTGACAAAGCGTGGCCTTGACAGCCTGTCCCTACCTGCACCTCCTGCTCCAAGCTGAGCTGCCGCTCTAAGCTGCACTCCACCATCTCTGTGGTCACTGGGAGCTTCTCAGGCAGCTCCGAGCAGCGCCTGATGAGCACAGGGTTGCATCCATTTAGAAACTGGTAGCCAAACATGAGGTCTTCTTGCCAGTGTTTCATGACCCGCTCTGGGAAGAGAAATGAGGCCCAACATGAGCCTTGAGCAGAAGGCAGCCAGGGCTGTGGTCCTCATGACCTTGTCCTAGAGCAGAGGATCTGCTGGGTCCCCTCTCCTAGGTATGACTGAACAGCCTGTTGGCCACTAGCCACACCCAACTGTATGCCTCTGCCAGCCACTGGGTCAGACTATGACGCCATCCTGTCTTCCCTGAGCTGGCTCTTAGTGTGGCTCACACTCCTCCCAGAATACCCACCCCTCTCTAAAGAACTCAGGTCCTTCAGCCCATCATGGAGGGAGATGAGGGGAGTAGAGGGTAGTCCTAGGGTGATGTGAACCAAAGTGCTGATTTCAACTGTTCTTTATCCAACCACTCCTTAACTTTCTGTGACTGTTTCCTTCCCATGTCATTATTGCCAATTACCAAGACCACTGTTCCAACAAAACACATCTTGGTTCAAAGGACCTAACTTCACTCTTTTTTTTTTTCTCCTTCCATCTAGCTTTGCTTTTATATAAATGCTTAAAAAAACAAAGCTAAGTCTTGACTTCATTGAGTCCAGAAGCACCATGAATTATTGATTTCTGTAAAGAAAAAGTTATATATCAGATAAGGAAAAATATCATTTTTTTTGAGACTTTTGATGACAAAATGAGGTTGAGGGTATAGAAGCTTGAATGTTTAAGCAGGAGTATGGGTAACCGCAAGTTAGGCAAGTGGTGTAGGACAAAGCAGGTGGCTAGCCTGGATGATTGGTGGCAAATCCCCTTGACCTGCTGAGCTACGATCCTTGCTAACTTCCTGGTACATCTTGAACAGAAAACCAGCATCCCCCTCCCCAGTACTGCAAAATCCCCAAAGGCACACTCACCAGAAATAGTGTTGCTGATCTTGACAAAGATTTTCTCGAAGTCAGCAAAGTCACTCCAGGATGACTGGAACATGTGCATGAAACGGTTGATGAACAAATTCTCCATTCTGCAGACCAGGAGACAGGTCACCCTCACACATGCCACTGCACATCCCTTTCAGGATCCTTATGATACTCCCAAGCAGCTCCCAGCAGCAAGTTATGGTTTTATGGAACCAGAACAGAAACTGGCCCCTAGACCTGATGCTCTTCCTACTATACCTCACCTATAGAAGAGACCAGGCCAGTTCCCTCCAGAACCGCCTAGTGCCTTACATTTCATTCATGAATGTGTTCATGCATTCATTCATCAGGCATTTGCTGCTCCCAACTCAGGGAGTCAGTTCCTGAGCAAATTTTCAGGGACAAAATGTTCTACCTTCTATGCAGCTACTCAATCTAACAGTCTGGATTTGGAGGGATGAGTTCAATTAAGATGATCCTTATTTACCTTCTGCCTAACACTGGCTCTGTGCATGGGACTGAGAAGGATACAAGTTCAAATGCTCAATACACAAGACAATAAAATAAAAACCCAAGACAAGAGCTTACTAAACTCAAAATGCAAATTTTAGGTAAAAGAAGGGAGTTGTGAGTGGCCAGAGCAATCCAAGAGGCATTAGTGAGGAGGCAGTGTATGTGGAATGCATCCAGAAAGGTGAAGAAGAAGAAAAAATCTTCCCTGCCTTCCTGTATGACCTAAGCAGGGTGCAGGACCGAGCCTTGGAGTTGTATGCTTCTCACTGTGGCACACTCTGCCTCAGTTTATCACTCTGGCACACACAGCTGAGAGTCGTGAGGGCTTTCTTCAGCAGGACTCTGGCTGCCTCTCAGGGGTCAGGTCTCTCTACCTGCTTTGTCCTTTGCTTGAAGGGTTCCCCCTGCCTAGAACAGTCTGCACTTCTCTTTCTTCTCTACTATGGACTGAACTGTGCCCTTCCTCTTCCTTTGTTGAGCCCCTAACTCTCAGTGTGATAGTCTTAAGAGATAAGTATATATTCACAAGACTGGGGTCTTGATTAGAATAAAAAATATTCCATGCTTGTATGATTATATCAAAACGGTCTCTACTGTCATGTGTCACTAAAACAAACGATAAAATAATTTTAAAAAGCGATGAGTGAGACCTTAGGGAGGTAATTACATTTGGATGGGGTCCTTATAGGAGATTAGTGCCCTTATAAAAGGACACACCTTGCTGGCTTTCTCCCTCCCTCATCCATACCATGTGAAGGTTATTATCTGTAAGCCAGAAAGCGAGCCTTTGACAGAACCCATGTCTGTTGGCATCTTCATCTTAGACTTCCAGCCTCTGGAATTGTGAGTGCCATGCCCTCTCCCCTGTGCTAAGCAGCACTCCTCACAGTTTTGCTGCAAACTCAAGATCATGAATATTTGCCTTAGGCACCCCAAGGGCGAGGGCATGACTGCATTGCTCAGCACAGATCCCATGCCTTCAGCATGCAGAGGGGCTCAGGGAACATTGCCTCATAAACTGAAAGATGCCCTAGATGCCTGGTGGAGGGAGCCATGCAGTGGAGCTCTCCTAGTGGGTTTTCCTACTCACCACCTTCTGTGGGTGATGGGCAGAGCCAGGTCCATCCAGAGCAGCAGCCCTGAGCACCAAGAGCCCAGCACCATGCTTGGACTCAGCCCTTGGGTAGTAATTTCTCTAGGGCTGAGCTATCAACATATAAGGTGTTTTTGTCAGAGGCAAGGTTAGGAGTCTAGCAGCCTCCTTGAGCCTCCTGACCCAGCAAAACCGAAGGACTGAGGTTGGAGTATTCTGTCCAGAGTGAAACTGATTGATGGGATAGAAGATTCAGGGATGTCAAGCTCTGCTTTCCCAGGGGAGAAAACCTATGGACATGCAAGAGGCAGTTTCAGAACCACTGAAGGAAGGAGCCCTATGGACCAGCAGGGGATGCTAGGGACTCTCCTGGCCTTACTAGACCCAGGAAAGTCATGTGAGGGCCTTTTGAATTGTTCTACAGTTCAGCAAATGCTCTGCTCCTTTGTACTGGCCATTCTGTCCCCTGGGAGGGGATCTTTGGGCTACTCAGGAGAGGTTCACGGGATCATGGAGGCTGGAGACCTTTGTGAGAGTCAGTTTATATAGAGGATGTATTGGTGCACGTTGCTGGAGCACAGCCTGGGTAGTGGCTGGCTTTGTAGTGACTGCACACAGTAGATATTCAGCACCTTGGAGCTGTAGAAAGATGCTCTCTTTGTCTTTTCCTTGCCCTTCCCTGTGGAAAGCAGATATTTTTTACCCATGATTGTCCTACTGCTCAGGGAAGACTCCTGCAGACTCATCAGCACTATGGTGATACAGTCAGGATCAAAGAATGCCCCAGCTCAGCTCCTCTCAGCCTCACTATCTCCTTCCTCATCCACAATTAGTCAGTCAGTGCCTTGGGCAGAAACCCTTGTGAAGCTAGAGGAGTATACCCCACTGTGGCATCTGGAATCAGTCTGGATATGGAAAGTGACTTATTTCTAGAAGGGAGAGGCTTTTGGAGGCTCCTAAGATCCTGTCGGGGCTCAAGGATGGCTCAGCACTAAATGGTTCCCAGGAATAAGGTCCTATGCCTGGTGGGAAGGTGTGGGGAACTGACAGTGAGTCATGTCTCCCCAGCTGGGTCTTTTTGACCTCAAAACAGAAGGTCAGCACTGAAACGGCGGGGGGGGGGGGGTGGCAGTAACCAGAGGAAGCCACATATTCAGAAGAAGTGGGGTTGAAAGGAAAAACATTTACATATATCCTAGAGGCAAAATATTTCTATATGGAATTTTGAGGACTTTAAAGATCTGTTTTTGTACAAAAGAAAACCCACATCCCAGATGTGACTTCTGGCTTGTTCAAGGTCACATAGTTAGGTAAGGGCACAACAGGTAAAGGCATAGCCAGATAATAAAAAGGAGCAGGAAATGACACCACAAGGTAGTGACACAGCCAGGGGAAGATGTGGATTCATACAGATAAAACCAGACAGGAACCCAGACTGACTCCATGGCTCTCTCCTATGCTGAGCTGCTGGCCTGGGCTGGACACCAGCTGTTGGTGCCAAGAGAGGCAGGAACTCTTGCCTCCTCTGCTTCTCCCTGCTCCTTTGCTCCTAACAGCTTCTCCATTTTTCATTTCAGTTTTGCTGTTTGGGGTGGGGGACAAAGTTTACAGAGGAGAGCTGGCCCCCTTCCAGACACAGCAGGTGGCTTAGAGGAAACAGTTCAGCTACCCAGAAGTAGGGAGGAAACCAAGCTGTGCAGAGCCAGTGGCTCAATAGGGAAGGCCTCCTGGGTGACCTCAGCCACAAGTTTCAGTCTTCTACCAAGGGGACTAGTTAATTGTGGACAGAGAAGTACTTCCAAAGCATGATCTATGGGGGACAAAGGCTCTGGATATGTGCTTTCCAGCACACTATCCTCAGGATCCATGAATGCTGAGTGGATCTTCCTTTCAATCCACCAGGGGCTGCACCAGAGGGTCTCAGACTCTACATTCACCCCTACCATGTGCTGAGGGTCTGAACACAAGAATCTTCCATGGGGCTGGTAGCATCCCCAGGTCCAGGAGACAGGGCAACTGAGGGGTACAGATCAGCACAGAACATAAGGGCATGGTCTAAAATTCCAGCCCAAGCACTTCCTAGCCACACAGGCTTGACAAGTCCCTGACCTTCATAGTGCCTTAGTTATCTCATCTCTGAAAAGGACCTAAAGATAGCCACTGTCTCACAGGGCTGCCATGATGTACTAAAGCATTGCCAGGTAAAGAGTTTAACAGATGTTAGTGACTATTACCCTGGTTATCACTTGTTGTTCATATTAATGTCTACAGCCCGGGTCCTTGTGTTCTAGGGGAACTGTTCTCAAAGTTGGTCTACAGCTAGCAAGTGGTTCTTTCCCTCCCCCTTGTTCCTCTATCTGATTTCTTTGACCCTTTTCTTTCCTTTCCCTGCAATAAACTTTTCATAGAAAAATAACCTTTACCCTTCTGTTATCTGTCCCTGGTGCTAACACTTCAAAGTGGCCACAGCCAAAGGACCCTACTCATCTCTGATCTCCTCTGATCTCTGGAAACTTCTGACAAGTGATCTGTCCTTTCTTGATTCTAAATGTCTGCCCCTCAGTGTCTGTCCCTTGGACCTTGCCCCTGCTTCCAACCCCCATGATCATGCTGTCCAGGCACAGGAGATACTCCTTGTCCATCTCCTGCCTTGGCAGGCTTAGCTCCACTTCCCTGCACAAACATCTACCCTGCTCCTCCTGGGTTTATTTTGTTTTATTTTTATTTATTTATTTATTTATTTAGTCGGATTCCCTCACTCTAGTCTACGTATCCAACAGGAAGACAGGATCAAGAACTTAGTCTTCTTTGCTGTCCTGCTCCACCCACCCAGGATATGAATCATTCTTTTGTCCAGTGTATCTACCCATTGGTGGTTTTGTAGCCATCTCATCTCAGATAGCTGATCAGTTATCAGATTGACTGTGGTGATATCACAGTGATTGTGGTCAAGTAACCCTTATTTTAGTTAATAAGGGTCCCAAAGTGCAAAAAGAATGATGCATTTAAGTGACAAGGTAAAAGTTCATCATACTTGTGTATGCTCAGGAGAAAACACAGTGTGTATATGGTTCAGTACTGTCCACAGTTTCAGGTTTCTACTGGGGCTCTTGGAACATATCCTCCACAGATCATGGGGGGCCACTATGGCATGAGAGGCACTGCTGAAGAATTTTCAATGTTTAGGAGTAGCATTAGTGAAGTTAAGGAACTAACACTCTAGGAGTACTTCGGTGGCATGGGGCCATCTGGTTTTTGAGGTGGGGTGGCAATAACAGGATAGGAGGTCTTATTCTCATGCAAAACTCATAGCTCTGCTTTCCAGAGTTATGTGAATGAGCTTCCTCAGCCACCCTCCTTTCCATCCCTTTGTGGTCACTTCTCATGCCCCAGCCTCTGTGCTTTCCCTCTGCCCCATATTGGCTCTGAATTTTACTTCCCCACTAAAAATCTGCTCCCTCTATGGTGCTCTGTCTCTATTCCCCAGGCTCTTGCCCTTCTGAATCCTCCCTCTTCTCAAAGGACTCCTCCATTCTCCCCTTTTGAGCAGCTGCCACATAGTTGTCCCTCAATATCTATGGGAATTGGTTCCAGGATCCAGGACCTGGTGGTCTGTAGATGCTTAAGTGCATTATATAAAATGACTTGGTAATTTGCAAATAACCTATGCCTCACAAGCAAAAAGGCGAGGAAATGGTGGCTCAGGCAGAATGGATCCTGGTCTTCAATGCTCCTTGAGTTGAGATCCCCTAACAATTGCCTGGTGGTTGCAGGTTTTGTTGAGAAACCTGTCTGAATGGCCACACCAAAGGCCAAGCAAGGTGTTTGCAATACTAATACTTTAAATCATCCCCAAATTATTTACAATAATGGATATACTGTCAATGCTATTGAAACAGGCATTGTTCTGTATTGTTAAGGGACCAGAAGAAAAAGCTTAGTTTTATAGTTTATTTTTGGGAAAAATTTCAGTTTGCATGTAGGTAAGGAATAGGAGGAGCAGTCGTATATAACTGTCCTCCTTGAGCAAGCAGCACATGGCTGCCTAGGGACTGTGGGCAGGAGCAGTGGGATTGTTGCTTTCAGACCACATTCCTCTCCTCCCTTCCAGACCTCTGCCTGGTCTTAGCCTTACTCCCCTGTCCCTCACAGGGCTGCCATCTACTGCTATGGCCTTCAAGCTGGCTGCACCCTCTCGGCTTATCTTTTTTAATGACCAAACTTATCTTTTTTAATGATAACAAGCCCGATGTCTTCAGTTCTCCCCTTAGCATCTTCCCATTGTGACTAGACCCTACACCACATCCTCCATCTGCGCTGATCCCTGGCCCCTGTGTTCATGGGGCCTCTTCCACACCTGGGCTTCTCTGGCCCATAAAAACTGTCAAGGTCAAGCTTCTACAATGCAGCTCTAACTCCATCACTGCTTGTTTCAAACACTCACACGTCTCCCAATTTCCCTGGATGCAGAAAATTCAGAGTACTGACGGCAAACATGACGACTGCAGCTTGTGGTAGTGCATTGGATGCTGCCTTCCTGGGAAGATAGCTGTGGTGTGGGTTGGGTGCCTTATGGCCCCTGAACAAGGATGCTTCACACAGGACCCTTTAAGGAACTGTCCTCCACCAGTCACATCTGTTGCAAATTGCACAGAGGGTATATGGTTGAGCTTCTCAGTCACCATTCTCCGGTCTCATGCACATTCTGCACTGTCTACTCTGTCAAGAAGGAAGCTCTCTTTCTCAATTTCCTTTAAAGAGGCCATTCCCTTATCAGCCTCACCAGTCCTGCAATTGAGTTCCATGCTTCAAACAGTGAGTGCATAGACGATAAACACACAGGCTGTTCTTCCCTTAAAGCCACCAGGAAGTTTCACAACCCACTGGGTTCCCCAGCAGGCCTGACCTGGCCACGACACACCTTTGTGAACATCCTGTCCTGTTGTCAGACCCCCATGTGTGTCTGCTTGGCCTGCCACAAAGCCAGACCAAATGTCCCTTGGCTTTGAAGCACTCCTGAGTCCTATCATTAAGAGAATGCCCAGGTGGAGAGTCTCTTTATGTACTTCTGTCTGAGGGTGCACCTGCTCAATGGCCAGGTGGTGCTGGAAGACCACCCAGTGGGTCTCACACCATTATTTAGAACAGGTGAAGACTAGCACTCTCTTTAGGGGTACCCTTCAGTGAATCAGCTCGGATGGCTTACATGGCCGCAATTCAGTTTCATAATCCTGAGTAGGAGCTGGGTCTTCTTTTCCAGAGGACAACATCTAGTCTCAGAGAAACTAGACGACATCCTAGGATTGCCCACACCAGCCAGAGCCCCTCCCCCATGTGCACTCGGAGAGTAGGTTCCTCTGAGTTACCTTTGCCTCCCTAAGATTCAGCCCACATGGCTCAGAGGAAGGTCCTCTTGTCTCTTGGATCTCATGTGTCTGGGTCCAATGAGCCAGCACAGAGTCAGTGCTCAGCTGACGGTCCCAGCTGTGCTGTGCTAGGAGAAGCTGAAGGGCCTATCCCAGGGTTTCTTTGCTTTTATTTCTGCCAAACAGTCCCTCACTCAAGAGGCTAAGTGACCAAGCTGATGTGGAGCAGGACAGGCTGCAGCAGTACTGAAGGGATGGTGGCCAGTGTGGGTGGGGGTGTCAGGGCACAGGGGAGGAGATCTCACTAGGCCCAGGGACTGGCAGGAGCTTCTTGGAGAAGGGTCTGTCACCCACGTACTGGCAAAGAAGCAGGGAAGGGTGTTTGTGGCAGAGGAACAACATGGGAAAAGACAGGGGGCCACGAAGATGCCCTAGAGATGACTCTGGATTCGCGTGGCTGGAGCAGCCTGGGCAGGTGCGGAGGAGAAAAGCCTGGGGATCACAGGTCCACTTGAATGGATCTTAAGACCTGGGTAGACATACCTGAGATCTCACCTGAAATTGGGACCATCACTGAAGGATTTCAGGGAGGAGAGTGAAAGAATTATATTTGCTTTTTTTTATAAGCAGCCTCCCAACAACTCATGAGCCATCCAAATGCTGTGGAAGCTCAAGGGAGCAGGCGGAAGGATATTCCCAAGAACACTGATACCAGGGAGAGATGATGAATCTTAGAGAGCAGGACAAGCTCCCTGAGACCCCAGCACATGGCCTTGATCTTACAGACAACTGGTTTGTGAGGGTGGGTGAGGCCCATAGAGGCATCTAGGCCAGTGTTTTCAACTCTGGTTGCACGCTTGAGTCACCCAGGAAAATTGAAAAGATGCCCCAGCAGCAATGCAAAGACCACAGTTCAGTGGTCTATACGGGGAGGGGTGGAACAGCATGGAATCTATGATATTAAATGTAGATGGGATTGAGAACCTCTGGTCTTGGCTGCTGTGAGCCATGAAGGAGATGCATGAGGAGAGGTACCTGTATCTTGTGTGTGTGTCCTTTCTACACAGTGAAGTGAAGTCCTGGGAGGTAGCAATACTGGCTCCTGAGTGGCCAGGTGGGTCACATTCAATTCATTTTGACAGAGTTGTCTGAGGACCTGTTCTATGGCAGCTGCTGTGCCAGGCTCCCCGGATACAAAGATGACAATGACTTTAAGAATCACTGAGTAGACATAAGAAAGGCACTGCCTGGCCTTCAAGCCACCTCCCTCTTTGCTTCCCTTCCTTTCTTTCATCCTCCACCCAGTGCCTAGACACTGTCCACCTTGATTTGGGCTTCAAGGAGATAAGATGTGGGTGGCAACTGCATGCTCCAAACAATAATGCCCACCCAAGGTGAAAACACAGCAATGCTTGGTGCCTACAGTCCTCAGGTTACGCCTGTGTTAGTACACACGCTGACCTGGGTTAGAGGTTATCTGTGGTAGTACACTGAGAATTCACTCTATGGCCAGGATATAATCAAATGCTTTGGGTGCTGCTCATCCAACCCAAAGCCCCCATGAGGAAAGGAGTAAGGGTCCCATGCCCAACCCTGGCTTCCGAGGGGGTACCCAGCATCCTTAAGTTCTCAGAAACTCACGCTTTGGAGTAGTTCAGGACAAAGTCCACTCCTTTCTCACTATCAAATTGGATATCCCGGGGCAGATCCTTATGGCATCTGGCGTCGATGCTCAAGGGGAAGCCAGGGTTCCACTCCATCCATCTAGCACGAGAAGGGAGAAAACTGCGTTAAATGCTAACCTTTGGTTTGGTCCCATCGGCTGGAGGCTGCCTGTGCTGTCTGCTATGTAAAGGTGGTGCCTGACATACCCACTCTACTGACTCTGCAGTGACTGAACCTGCATCCAGCAAGATACTGGGACTCCTTTCCAAAGTCCTGAGGCTCTGACCATAACAGGGGGAGATCTGAGACTGGCTTACAGCCAAGGAATAGTGAATGGAATAGATGTGCACAAGTATATCAAAAACAAGGAAGGAAGCCTCAGGAGAACTCACAGTTTAGAGGCAACTTCAAACAACAATATTTCCCATAGCAGACACCTGCCTTGCTGGTCACAGGACGCAGAAGTGGTTAAGGCTGACAAGCCACAACCAATGTGGATGTTCAGTGTCCTCATAGCTTGGTCAGTGTGCACCCTTGGACTGTGTGCATGTTCTGCGTGTGGTGGCCAAGGAAAATGGGACAGTTCTGATGCCTTCACAACAGGACTGCAAGGCAGTGAGAAAAATGGTGAGGACCCCAGGCGCAGACTGTGGAGAGGCTGCTCTTTCCAATCTATGAGCCAACAGCAGGTTTAGAGATTAGTATAATTAAAATTGTTCCCTCCCAAAGGGAACCATGCACTAAATCCAGTAAGAATTTTGAGATCCTGGTGCCCTTGAAACTATCTTTTAGCATTGGACACTTGTGTTTTACTTTCCTACTCTATTTTTCCTTTGTTTATTTATTCACCAACCTGAACTGTGAAAACAAGATAAAAAAATGGTGTTCATTTGTGGGGGGTAAGAATAATAAACTAGTATTTGTTTAAAAAACAAAATTCACTCTTTTTTTTTTTTTTTGGTACCAGGGATTGAACGAAGGGGCACTTAACTGCTAAGCTACAACTCCAGGCTTTTATATTTTTTATTTGGGACAGGGTCTCTCTAAGTTGTTTAGGGCTTCACTACATTGCTGAGGCTGGCTTTCAATTTACAACAGGCATGTGCCACCATATCCAGTCAAAATTTACTTTCTGAGATTTCAGATTTTTTCACTTGAACTCCTGACTTTCCTTTTTAATCTCCTGAGGGAAAAACTTGAGAGCATTAAAAAGTCTAGGCTGAGGCAGGAGGATCATGAGTTCAAAGCCAGCTTCAGCAAAAGCGAGGGGCTAAGCAACTCAGTGAGACCCTGTCTCTAAATAAAATACAAAATAGGGCTTAGGGATATTGCTCAGTTGTTAAGTGCCCCTGAGTTCAATCCCCAATATACCCCCCACACACACACACACAAAAAGCCTAAAGTACTTTTAATAAAATCTTCTGTTTTACTGTTATGAAACTCCTCATGTTTTTCATGGTATTCTGAGCCCACAGTCTCTCTCGAGGATCATAAGAAGTGACCAGGAACCAGACAGAGTCCCTCCAACAAGAAAGGCATTGTGGAAAGTGCTTTCTGTTACATGGTGCCTTGCATTTCTAACTGTTGGCCTACTTACATAGCATCATTCTAGTTTCTTAGATTTGATAACATTCTACTTCCTTAAATTTATTTTTTTAATGATTTGTATGCTGATGCTAGTAAGAGAAAAATGTGGACAAGTACACAAATAATTTCCTTTTGTTTTGGAAAATCATTCAAGGTATCACCAATATAAGTTAAAATTGAGACAGTCATTTGGGAGTCCCACTGGTAGTAACTACTTATTAGATAATTATCATTAGTCATGCCAATTTAAATTACTAATGACTTCCTCCTTGTCACTGGGTAGCTTATAAGCTCTAAGCAACATTAAGAGCTTACTGGACCTATATTTTTCAGTGATCCCCAAAATAACATACATGCCAGCAGACGGCATTTACATTTTAAGTTGAGAGTTTACTTAGAAGAGAAGTTGGGAACATTTACTCAACAGACAAAACATTTTCTCTGCCTGTCCTTCCTCATTCTCCATGGGATGCAGCACCAATGGGCAGAAATACCCTACCTTGAAAGGTTAAGAGACGATGGGGCCCAGAGTATAGAGATGGGACAGTTTGCTAGCAAGTTTGCTACTGTCCACCTGAAACCAAACCCCTAGGCTCCTTCTGCTATGGCCTGAGACATCCTGACAGGCTGACCCACAGGAACCAAAGGCCTCACACTCAGACAAAAATAGGCAAAGAAAAAAAATATACTTCACTAAGGAAGATCAAGAGGAACAACTAGGCAGAAGTAAGGAAGAAGCAGGAAAGACATTTGTGTGTGTGTGTATGTGTGTGTGTGTGTGTGTGTGTGGAGAGAGAGAGAGAGAGAGAGAGAGAGAGAGAGAGAGACAGAGACAGAGACAGAGACAAAAAGATAGAGAATAACTTAAGGAGATGCAAATAGTATAATTCAATGTAAAAAGACTTTTCCAGACACAAATATGGTTTCTAAGTTAAGAATTTAATATGGAAATAGAAAAAGAGAATAGTCACTCTAAGTATGATCGGTCTCCTAGAAGACAAAATCAATTCATTCTAGAATTATTGAGCACCTCTTAGGGCAGGAAGTGTTACATGCACAAATAGAAGGAAATGTAACAAATGCAGAGCAGAACGACAAAGAAATTGAAATCAAGAGTGAAACTATGAGAGAAATGAAGCTCAAACAAAGAAAATTTAAAATGCAAACAATAAGAAGTCCAGAATGAGAGAGGAACACATGGAGAAGTTTTTTTTTTTTTTTTTAAATCAAAGAAATAGAAGAAAACATCTTTAAACTGAAAAATGATTTAAATATTCTCAGTTCCAGAAAAAATTATACTATTACTATATTTCTCATGTATCACACTGAAGTTAGGAAGGCTGTGTCATTTGGGAGTCCTACGGTAGTAACTTCCTATCAGATAATTATCCTTAGTCATGCCAATTTAAATTACTAATGATTTCCTCCTTGCCACTAGGTAGCTTATGAGCTCTAATCAACATTAAGAGCCAAAAGTTTACCAACATTGCTTTTAAATCATCTTCTAAAAAGTCAAGTGATTGGTAGGGACAGGTGAGGCACAGACTCAGATATACTACCATGTGCCCTTCTGAGGAAATCAACTGAACAAGTACAACTACATACAAATTAAATTCAAATGAAGCACAAACTCCTGAATATTATACTAAAGATATTATTCTCATCATTTGTACATTGGCCTTTAAATCATTTTATATTCAATATGAGGTATATCCATTGAACCCCATGTTCAAAAATCTGTAATCGTTTGGCTGTCTTGACATCCATTCCTGTTTCAGAACACATATATTCACACTTGTAGTCCTACTCATTAAGAAGTGAACATTCTTTTAATCATACATAATTTTTGATAAACATATAGGCTCTCTTAGCAATACACAAACACACTCATTATGCAATACTAAACCTAATATTACCACAATACTTAGAGCTATTTGGAATCCATGTCTATACGTGAATATA